CTTAGCTTGTCCATTACTTCCGCTAAACATTAAAAAAAGTTATAATTAACAAATTGCTGAAATTGGTGAAATATATATCTTTGTAACATCTTTCTCATACAAAGTTAGCTTACTTGGCAAGAGCTCTTCGGCTCTGATCTCTTGAACATCTAATATATATATATATATATATATATATATATATATATATATATATATATATATATATATATATATAGACAAAATTAATTTTCTAAATATTCACTTTTTCAATCAAACATATAAGATTTGTCTTAAATTATAAATTTATAATTTAACACATTCAGTAAATGACAAAAAGTTTCATTTTACGTAAAAGTTTAGTAGTTAGAAGACTTAGAAGTCAATTTTAGCTTAAACACGTTTTATGAAATTATAGCTTAAACACCTTAAATAAAGCTTATACGCGTTTTTAAGGTTCACTGCTTTACAAAAACATCAATCAAAATAGCGGAATAAACAAAAACTGAGTTTCGGGTCTACTATTTTAAAATTCTAAAAATTATATATTTATATATTTTCTAATTTCAGTTAAATTTTAGGGCGGTGTACTTGATTCACGGGGTTAGGGGAGGGCGGCATATCTTGGTTGATTTCAATTAAAAACGGCTGAATTAAATCATCGTTTTATTCACACCGTGAATCAAATACAGCTCCGTCACTTTTAGAACATATGTAACTGCTACTATATATAGTATATATAAATGGCTTACTTCGAAAAAATGCAGAAACTTCTTCGTCGCCTAAAGTTATACAAAATTATCTCAATGTAATTTCTTAATAAAATAATAAGCTAAATATCTCAGTGTTATTGACGTATCATCTCTTTTTATCTCTTTAATTAATGTTATACAAAATAAAAAGAATACTTTAACCTTCTGTATCTTGGCTGCTCATTTCTAAAAAATAATCCTAATGTTTATTCTTGCGTAAAAAACATATTAACTTCAAACATATTAACATGGTAATTATAAAATAAGTTTTTTTTAAATGAAGATTACAATAATTAAACTTGTAGATAGAACTTACTTGTCGTCCCTCGCTTTGCAATTGTTATAATCGATATGAAGACCACATGGCCGAGTTTTATTGGTTTTAGAGTACAGTTGGCGCACATATCATAATACAAAAATCAGATGGTTTTGAATCTAATAATTAAGCTGTTTTTATTAACGGATTTGGTGGATTTAATTAGATAACCGCTAGGTAGTTTTACAGTGGTTTAAGAGTTAGCGTACGTTTCGTAATACAAAAATCGTTTAATATTTGTTTATATCTTAATATTCGAGCATTTCTATTAGCGGATTAGGCGAAATTTTGTGGGTTTTCTGTTTGTCACCTTCTGGAGTAACTAAATTTTTTTTTAGGTTTCAGAATACAATTTTTTTTTCATACCTTTCCGTACTTTTTAGGACTCTTGACCAGTTAGTTTTAATAAAAATTTCAGTTTACATGTAAAACCTTTTTTTATATATATAAGAAAGAAAGTTATCTCTTTAATGTGTGTTGAACTCGCAGACTTAACTAATTACCTAAAACATAAGTATCTCTATCATGATATATGCGCAACAAATTTCCAAGAGCGTTTTCATATTTTTAGAAATTTTAAAAAACGTTTTAAAAAAATCTCTCCGTTTGTTTTGTTATAGTATATTATATCTTTATTTATATGTAATGCGTATAACATCTATATGCATTTAAACTTGTTTTTCTTTGTTTTCTAGAAAACTGGAAAAGATTTAAAAAAAAAATTTTGTAAGCAAAAGGTTTTGAACCCAAGCGACGAACTTCAATCGCTTTGGAATGCTATATCATCTTTTTACACTATTTAATAAACAGAAAACTTATTAAACTTTAAAAAACAACATTTAATGCTCTAAAATAAAGAGATTTCACTTATGAATTAAATTAAAAAAAAGCCGCATTTAAGAATTGCTTCACTTGCTATTAGCGTATTTCATTTAAGCCCACAATTTTCCTTTTCCGTTTTTACTCATAACTATTTTTTCATAAATAGCAAATTTAATTTTAAAAAAAGATTCGTGATCAGCGTCAAAATTTAAACAATAAAATGTTTTAGGTTCAATGATATCAAATTTAATTTCCCAAAGTTTTAAGTTCATTTCTCAAAATATTATTTAATAATTATTTATTGCGTAAACAAAAATCTTATTGCGTATTCTTAAACTTTTTTTATTTTTTTTTTTCTCTTCTTTTCCCTTCGTAAAAATAGAAAAAGTAAAATAAAGTTTTACAACTTCCAATAATATATTAAAAAATTAAAAAATGTTTAAAAAAAACAAATTAAAAAAAAAAAATCAAAAAGTTTGACAAAACTAAAAAGTTGGAAAATAATAAAAAACAAAAAAGTTTGATTTACAAATCAGTACATATGCGTATATATATC